GCTGATTGTTACATCACCTATAACACATATCAAATACCGATCTTGACTGTAACCCTTTTCAATTTTTTAAATATTCATCCACATCTGTTAGTCATCCGTTCCTGGTTTTTGCGTGACAGCGTCACGCAGTTACCTTATTACACATGATTTTTAGATTCGAGTGAATGATCAGTCACATGATCGAGAGACGATGCTGACTTTTTTATAAAAAATATCTATTCTTCAGATCAAAGAATATGTAAAGCATCAAGATACTAAATACAATATTTAATAATGCTACAATAAGCTAATAAAACAGAATGCATGCATATACAGTAATAATTATATTGATTAAAATAAACGAATGAATAAAATTATCTATAATGCCAAAATTTAATCTTCAAAATCATCAATAGAAAATTCAAACTTTACAGATCCCATCGACTGATATGAATACCTAAACTCACCATTTTCTTTTACTTTAACATCGTCATTAGTTGAACTTATTGGTTGAGATGAAGGCTTAGAAACAATTTCTTTTTTGATATTTTCAATATTTAACTTATTAAGTACTGATGATTCATCAGTTGGAGTTATAGGAATATCATCTAAGTCTATATTGTCTATGGAATCTTCAACATCATCTAGAGAATCTGCGTCTTCGTCCAAGGAATCAGGGATCTCAAAAGCGGAGTCTTCGTTGTCTTCGTCATCTATGGAATCTGGGATTTCAAAGTCGTTATCTATGATGGCTAGTTTTGAATCTTCCTTATCGAAATCCAATTTCGTTGTTAATGCTAAATTTAAATTTAATGAATGTATTTTTAGCTTACTAAGTCTTGACAAATATTATAATGAAAAATATGTATATATTTTTATCATAATTAGACATACCTTTAACATCATGATAAGTACTATACAGAACATTATTTGGATGCAATTTTTGTAAACGTGGAGCTTTGTGTTTAGCTCATCTCCCCTTTTAAATTCTTTAGCAATATTAGAATTTGGAACAAATAAACATTGATTCAACCATGTCCCAATTGTCGAATATATTTCTAGTGCACTTGGTCTTTTTTCAATATTACCGTCCCAACATCTTTGCATCAAGTCTGCATACAATTTTGGAGTATTAGATGGAATCTCAGGTCTCAACCCTGAACAAATCTCTAGCATTAAAGACGAATCTTGCGCAACGTCACCGAAAGCTTTTAAACCGGTTAAAATTTCTCACATAAGAATTCCGAAGCTATATACATCAGCTGCTTGGGTATACGGCTTTTCACATAATACCTCTGGTGCAATATAAGGTAATACACCAAACACTTGATTATCATCTTTTTTTGGCGGAGTTGCCTGGCCCAAATCACCAATCACAAATCGATATTCTTCATCACGGCCTGGATCTCTACCATTTAGTCGTTGACACATCACATTAC